GGCTGATGCTTTGAGGTTCACCTTCTTGGCGAACTCGGCGGGGTCTATCTCGCAGCAGTCGTCGTCTTCCTCGGCGTCGAGTGGTCCTCCTCCGATCTCCAGTATCTTCACCATTGCCGCCCTTCGCTGTTTGAGCTTCTCCTTGCTCTGCTCGGTTGAATGGGCGATTGCCATACGGGAAAGGTGGAGCCCTTTATATGTAGCGGATAGCAATGCCTGATTTATGGCGCATTGAGAACAGGTTGCGGAATCCCAAATGGCACGCTGGTGACCAAGGAGCCTTGTGTGGGAATCGAAGGGACTCTGCACCAAGTCATCAATATACCACGCATTAGGCCCTTCCCCATGGAGTGAGAAGTTATGGTGCACGCGTTTAGAAGTTTCAAAAAATAAATAAATAAAATCTGTGAAAAAATTATGTGTTCACTACGGATCCATGAAAAATTGTTTTGAACAATATAATTGTAAGCTGTATGGGCCCAAAAGCAAATAAAAGGCCTATTTAAAAATACTTTTGTTTAGGGCACATCTAGGTGTGCATAATTTATTGCACATCTAAATGACACAATCAAGCATAAAATGGAAAGGAAAAGAAAAAAGAAAATATTCACTTGAATTTCCGCGTAAGATCAATGACATAAGACTTAGATGTGCAATACTTATGACACATGTGAAAGTAAAATGTTGTGAAATTTTGCACATACATAGCATACATGTGTGTGTTTATAAAAAACTTATTTTTTGAGGGTTGTAGAAAATGTTTTTTTAATGGGCATCATAGTGCCCGTGCACAACTAGCAATGCCCAATGCTCGTTCAGAGTTACTACTACTACTACGCCTTATTTCTCCTCATAAAGTGAAGGCACTGTTGTCCATTAAAACTTGATATGATAAAAGCCTATGACATAATTGAATGGAATTACTTGCAGGCGATAATGGGGTTCATTAAGAAGTGGGTTGATATTGTCATGAGCTTGATAAGGACAATCACGCGCTTAGTTTTATTTAATGGAAAGAAATTGCAGGAGTTCAAGCCACCCCGTGGGATTCGACAAGAAAACCCAATCTCCCCATACTTCTTGCTGATAGCAGTAGAGGGCCTTTCGTGCCCCATACCTCTTTGACATAAACTAGTGTCGGTGGCATCACGTCCATAGCAACAATGATGTGAGTGGCCTCACCCACCGGTGAGATGATGACCCACAAGTATAGGGAATCAATCGTAGTCCTTTCGATAAGTAAGAGTATCAAACCCAACGAGGAGCAGAAGGAAATGACAAGCGGTTTTTAGCAAGGTATTCTCTGCAAACACTGAAATTATCAATAACAGATAGTTTTATGATAGGGTAAATTGTAACGGGTAACAAGTAATAAAAGTAAATAAGACGCAGCAAGGTGGCCCAATCCTTTTTGTAGCAAAGGACAAGCCTGGACAAACTCTTATATAAAGCAAAGCGCTCCCGAGGACACACGAAAATTGTTGTCAAGTTAGTTTTCATCATGCTTATATGATTCGTATTTGTTACTTTGATAATCTTCTATATCTAAATAGCTAGCCCCCACTAACATATTTCTTTCAACATGCAAGCATGCCACCTCATCATTCAACATGCATGAAAAAGGCCCACCTCAACATGAAACTATGCATAATAAAAACCCACCTCAACATGCAAACATGCATGCATGGAAAATTCCATTCTGTTATGCTATTTACATTTAATTTTTATATTCATTCAAAAACTATTATCTCAAATATTCATGTTTCGTATAACCAAAACCTCATCAAAATATTGCAAAACATTCCCGCAACAACGTGGACCGGTGCTTGGGTGTTGCCCTTCCTTGGACAAGCCTCCCACTTATGATTAACCCCTCTTGCAAGCATCCGCAACTACGAAAGAAGAATTAAGGTAAACCTAACCATAGCATGAAACATATGGATCCAAATCAAACCCTTACGAAGCAACACATGAAGGACATGCGGTGCCCCCATGTGTGGTTTTGGTAATTGATGACATTCTCTATGGACTAATGGTTGCATTGAGTTATATTGAAAGGATTTGTCCATAGGCATTTCTTGAAGTCCATGTGTTGGTTTCAAGGAGTTTATGAGTTGACCAAGGTGCTATTAAGGAATTATCCAAAGATTGGTCATGTGAGTGTTGAGCTTATTGCAAGCATGTCTTGAAGAAGAAGATTGTGTGATCATTCATGTTTACCTTCAAGACATCATCCAAATGAAGAGAGTTGGAAAGATTCAAGATTGATCAAGACTAAGTCAAGAGTGAATCAAGTTGATCAACTCACAAAGCGTAGAAGAAGTACCGTGTAACGCCCCAAGACCGATGTGCCAGGTGTCGTTCAGTTATTCGTTGTTGTTGTCTTGTCATTTGCTTGCGTGTTGCATTTCATGATGTCATCATGTGCATTGCATCATCATGTTTTCAAAACTTGCATCCGTCCCGGTCTCCTCGTTCCTTCCGTTGTCCGTTTTGAGCCCAACCACACTTGCACGCGCCCGCGGCACGTCCGAAATATTATTTTATAAGTGGCCGGAAAATGTTCTCGGATTGGGTTGAAATTTGGTGTGTGGTCTTATTATAGTGTAGGTAGACCGCCTGCCAAGTTTCATCGCGTTCGGAGTTCGTTTGATAGCCCAACCGTTAAACTATAGCGGCATTATAGCCGGTCTAATGTCGGACGTTTTCGGTCTCCGGAAACAGTTACCGGGCTGCACTCCTCTCCTCTCATCTCAGCCCAACCTCTCTTCACAGCCCACTAGCCCACCTATCTAAACCCCCCCTCCGTTCTGGTCCGTCAGATCGCGATCGGAGGCTCCGGAACGGACAAAAATCCCCCTAACCTAGCCCCCTTGTCTATATATAGACCTTCCCCTTCCATTTTTGGGCATCCCTAG